TGCTTTACGTGTTTATCTGGACAGGATGAAGTGTTTCTGTCAAAGTAACCAACTCTTAGTATCCTGGGCTCCGGACCATAAGGGGAAGCCTCTGTCCAGGGAGCGGCTGTCGTGCAGGATTGTGGAGGCGATCAGGGAGGCCTATGTTTGCCAAGGGTTACAGCTCCCAGAGCAACTGAGAGCACATTCCACCAGAGGTATATGTCTACCACTTGGGCCCTTTTCAGGTGAGTCTTGGTGGGAGACATCTATGCATCTGCCAGTTGGGCAGCTCCTCATGCTTTCATTAGATTCTACTGCCTSGATYTGACAGAGTTGTCYCTGGTGCACTCAGTCCTCGAGGTGGGATCTTAYCTCAGCACCAGCCCCACAGTGGGGCAAGGTGGAGGGATAACTTTTAGATCTCAGACCAAAGTACTTCTGCTTCGGAACATGTAGTCCAGGAGTTGGCTATCTATCCCATAGTGAGATATCGAACGAGGTTTGAAAGAGAACTTTTGGTTACGGAGGTAACCCAGGTTCTCTGAAAACTAAGTGAGGTATCTCACCACACTGCCCTGCTTGCATGARCATGTGGAAGAAAGGCACATGAGAGTGTCAAGTGTTGTGCAGGGCCGCTTATAAAAGGGGGAGGGTGCCCCCATGTCAAGCCCACATTGGTCRACCAGGGACAGACATGGTGGTATTGGACTTTCCATGATTGGTCACGCCTGAAGGCGCTTCCCATAATGACATARGTCACTTGGTTTTCAGAGAGTCGGGGCTACCTCCGTAACCAAAAGATTTAGACAAAGTATCTGMAGCACAATGTTCAGACCAAAGTCRTGGTGACCCAAAACCAACTTTAGAAGTGAATGAAAATTAATAAAATTGTCAAAACATTTCTATCAAAGGATCAGGGCCTCAGTAATGTGGATGTTTGTTCCAACCCTTCATGATSAAAAGAATGAGATCCTGGTTACAAGCAGCCGAAATAAACTCCCTTTGTAGGGTGGCAAGACTCAGCCTTAAGTTAGGTTTATAGTTGATGCATTAAACATGGCACAACGGTGCATGTGCCAACAGTGACACAATCACGCCATCTCAGGTGTATGTGCCGGCCTTGTACGGTGTCGCGGCGCCTACTCGTACACCACCTAATTTTTAGACTTGGCGTGCCCATTCAAATTGTTTATCGGTCAAGCATTTGTTCTATTTTTTACAACATTTTCACAAGTTATACATTGCCATACGTATGTCCTTTTGGAGAAAACTGCACCGATCAAGTAAAAATYTCTACACGGTTGGCTGAGCTGGAGTCTGTGTGAGAGCTGCTCCAATGTAGCAGGAAGTGCTTGTTCCTGCAGCTGGGCGCCGTGCACCTCTCTCTGCAGTGCGTTTGGCGTATTTATTGCAGGTCAGCTCTCAGCGGTTCCCCCCGGTGCTCACGCCTCATTACCTCAACACACTCGGCTCCTTTACAGCTGTTAATTACACATCGTAAAGCTCATATTGATGAGGACCATCAGCATTTATCCCACTTAAGCTCACTTTTGACTGCACGAGAACTTGAGGCCACAGCCGCTCTCTAATCAATTTTTTTTAAATAATTGACTTTTTCTTTGATGAAAATATTGAAGACTTCCAGCAAACCTTAATTTCCACTAAGACAAGGAGCTGAGACGTCCCTAACAGTGGGAGTTTTCTCCAGCAACAAGTTATTTCTGTGTTTTGTCAAGGAGTGATACAGAAAATTAAAGATGAGCACCGACTAATTGCTGGTAATTAGATTGAATGTGTCATTAGGAGCAAAGGAAACAGTGAATGAGCCTAATCAAAAAAAGGAAACATCCTTTCTATTTTCTGCTGTCACTGTTATGAAAGTAAAGAGTGACTGGAAAGCTCAGTCTGAGGTTCATATGAAGGATGAAATACTGAGAGAGTTGACAGTGATCTTAATACCTAATGACGTCTGTTTTGTGCTCCCTAATGTATCTGATTTTGTCTCATTTGAATACAGACAAATGGGTGGCAAGATGTATCACAATAATTTACAAAATAGATAAAAGATGTCAGCAGGATTGAAGGATAGACTCCTACTGTAATTACTGATGCTTGTAAGAACAAAATAAGCTGTAGATGGAAAAACTGAGATTAATATATAGAATTAAACTGAAAACGATCATCGTGTCTGATTTAAGTGAAAGGGAATGAAGTTTCACAGAGTAATTTAAGATTTATAAATTCTTAACCCATTTTATTATATTAAAGGCCCAGCATTTCTTATTGAAGTGTATACTGTCTGTGCCCTTCGTGCCAAAGCTGAAGARGTGTGGAGTTACGAGATTTAAACRGCTTGATTCAAGGTTATTATCATTATTATATGGATCATTCAGGTTGAAGTCGCTTTGAAAAACACCAGATATGTATCCAGTTTAGTGCCACATACTGAAAAGGCCTTGGTCAGATTTGCAAAAATCATATTTGTCAGGTTGAGACGGCATTTGCCTTCAGTGTGAATGCAGCCTTTAGTTGTTGMGGTGGGTGACCGTAGTTTTAGAATAAATTAATATTGTAAATCTAAAAGCTGCCACAAACACACTATCAAACTATTTAATGGCACATTTGTCCTAACCATTGAAAACATGGATGAAAAAAGAAATATGAAACATATAAAATACTATAAAAACATGAAATGTTTATGTAGATGTAGTTTAGTCCTGATCTACATTTTTTCAATGAATTTGTTATTGAACAGTTATTTTCTGAAGTGATAAATGATTAGAAAAGTTTGATAATAACATAAGTTTATATTTATATTTATTTATCCTTTTGTTTACTGAGGCCATCAGCAGCTGAAAGAAAATTAAAATGTGTGATTAAATCCTTTTTAATCCATCATGTTACATGGAAATAACAGAAACAAGYTTAAATCTTGTTTAGGTGGATGCAGCTCAAATGTTGGGAAATACTGTAGTGTGGTGATGTCACAACTGGCACATTAGGCCCCGCCCCCGGCYAAGCTGTCCCATATTTTAGACAGGCTAAGTTGGCGACCCTATAGAGGACATTTAATAATTTCTCTGAAATGCAACGGTACAGTTTGAAGTGAAATTTGTACATTTTCAATAAAGTAATAACCTTTTTACTGATTGATCTTTTTTAAAAATGAAGCTCATCAACACACTTTGGCTTTAGTYTAACTGTAAACAGCTTTAACGTGTTTCTGTATTAAAGCTGAACATTTCTCACCAACTTCCATGTTTCAGCAATAGAAGCAACAAACAAACACTCAAGTCAGAAGTCACGCAGCACTGAGTAAATTTCCATGCGTTTGTGTGCAAACTGAACTTGGAAAAATGTCAAAAAGGAAGTGACTAGCTGCAGAAGAAACAGTCTGCAGAGTTTACATGCTTCCTTTGTTGACACTCACTTTCAAGGATGCAAAATATCTTGGCTGAAGTTCAACTTGGTCTAAGAAATCTTTTTTATTTRAATCTATTTTTGGATTGTTAAGACGCTCTGTGAGGGCGCTAAGCTTTTCTGCAGAAGTAAGACAGGCTGTGGGGGTGTCTTCCAGGAAGACATGTTAGTAGCCATTGTTTAGATGTCATATTAAAGCTGTGACATGAAACAGTGAATTGTTCATGACAAAAATGKAYTTTTATTTATTTTGAAAATTTGTGACTGAGGAGTCAGAGTGACAAAGCATCTAAAGCAGGGGGTCCACCATCCATGACTTAGAGGTCTCTTTGCTCCAACACACTTGATCTGAACGAAGGGTGATTAGCAGGCTTCTGCAGAACTCAAGCAGGTATGTCTTCAAACATGCACATATGTTTACATGCGCAAAATTAATCGATCAGATTGAAATTTATTTGGACTAAATAATCCAAATGTATCGTTTACATGAGTACAATCCCATCATGATGAGTGTTTACATGCACCGGGCTTTTATTCACAATAGAAGCACTGAAAAGTGCAGCGCTGTTATAACTTTCTCTAAAAAAAAACACAGAAGAAGAAGTTCTACTTTCGTCATTAATGTAAAAAAAAAAAAAAAAAACATCTGAGCGCCCAGAATGGTCCTGCTCCAGGTTGTAATACTGATGGAGTTACTGCACTTCCTGGTTGAGCTGCAGGTGATGGGCAGTTTTTTTTTCCTTGGGCAAAAGCAGAGCAGGAATGAGGGTGCCCCCATGTCAAGCCCACATTGGTCCACCAGGGACAGACATGGTGGTATTGGCCTTTCCATGATTGGTCACGCCTGAAGGTGCTTCCCATAATGACATGCGTCACTTGGTTTTCAGAGAGTCTGGGCTACCTCCGTAACCAAAAGATTTAGACAAATTATCTGGAGCTCAAT